GCGACGATTCGCAAGTGATCCACGCGTTGGAAGAGGCGCAGGTATTCGAAAATCCAATTCTGTGAGGTGTACTGGCCCCGTCGCATCCACAGATCGAAGCACTTGACGGAGTAGTGTTTCCGAGTACGTAACTCGGAGATACTGAGATCGGGGGAAGGGGAATTCTGGAAACGCAAGTAGGCAAGGTTGGGGAAAGCGAGCACGATGGTATCTACCATGATGACCGTGGGGGGCATTCCTACGCTCCACCAGATCGAGGCGCCTGTGATGTACGTCGTGAGTCTGCGAGACTGCGTCGCAGCCAGCATCAAAGTCTCCAGTCGCTCGTAGGCCTTCTCGCCCTCTTCCATTGAAGGCTCAGTGCTTGAAGCCTGGAAGCGTAGGCGTCGAAACAGATGATGGGAGCTCCTATCGAGCCAGCCGCGGCACGTCAGGGAACAGCTGGCGAGGTCGGTCAGCGGTATAGTTGGAAACTCGTCGAAGTCGTCAGTGTAGGCGACATGGTCGATTATCATAGCAATCGCTTGCTGAGGGAGTGTGGGCGGGGAGGATGGTCGCGATTGAATACGCAAGCTGGTGTCGCTTCGCGCTATGGAATGAGGAACGATGCGAGGATACTGCTGCTCCTGTATGCTAGCAGCGACATATGATGTATGGAAAGGAATTGCAAAATGGGAGACATAGGGAGGGCCGAGCGGCGGGCTTTTGAACAGCGGCACAGTCGGAGACGAGCTCGCTGAAGGGGACGTCGCCGAGCTCGAAGGCGAAGCGAGGAGTGATTGGGTGCGTCCGGCGCGCGACGATCGTTGCGCTTTGGGCTTTGGTTCTACGCGCTTGGGTAAGATAGGCTCTGGTTGCGGGGTGCGTCTGACTGCGATCTTCCTGTAAACCCTCCGCTCCGGGAGAGGAATGGTCGCAGCCACGTTTCTCTTCCCGGTAGCCCGCCTGCCGAGCGTCAAGAGTCCGGTCAATGCATCGTAGTGCATAGCAGCGTGGATTGCAAGTACCTTTCCCCCATTGCAGATGCTCAATATCAGCTCGAAGGAGGTGAACCGGCGCGCAGTGGCGTGAACAGGTCCAAGCTTCACAGGCGCCGTGTTGGTCGGTGGAATCCCGGAGACAGCGCAAGACGCGCGCTGTCGCAGAGCGTTCCGACGGGCAGGCTTTTGCTCATCCGTCTCCGAATTTCTAGCACGATCAATTCACAGCTGCGCTGGGAGAGGGGAATTTTGAATGGGCCTCCAGGTTGAGAGAGAAGTGAGGGTGCGACCTCCAGTTCGTGAAGTCGTGCCCTTAGCGGACAAGCGCCTACGGCGGGCTGGGCTCCGCGCAGACGCGCGCAGAGGCCGCCGTTTCGTTTTCAAGCACGACGTCCACCACAGCCCGACCCTCATGGCAGCGCTCAGGATCCATCCTGCGACAGCGATGCGTGCCATATCTCAGAACGCTTCAGGAGATATGCCCGGGCGATCGTCTGGCCATATACGTGGCCTGTCCTGGGGTGAGAAACTGTACTATCCGTGACCTGACTTGCCTGCAGGACGCCAGCGCAAGCTACGATATGGGGCTCCTGGTAAGCTCACAAAAAGCATCGTTGATGAGACGTAAGCTAGAACGAGAATAATCAGGCCCTCGGCGACCTTATATATCTGAACCGAAAACTCACTACGCGCACTCGTGTCAGGTCCAACGTCAACGATGGTGTTGTTGACAGTAGAGGTACATCTGTCACATTAAACACGTACCTTTTCGAGCTATGCGATACCTCAGGGAAAACCGTGGTACGTGCAGTGATGTGGACATCGCTGTGGAGCCACACTCCTATCAAACTAGTCCCCTGCAGTGCGCCATAGCACATCTATTAGCGATGTCTCAGGCAAACTCTAAGATCCCGCGAGTCGATCGTTTGTCACAGCATCTCCCCAGGAGGGATACAACGGGCGTCACAGCACTTTCTCTGCGCACACTCGTTGTACATGCCCAAGGATAAAATATATTTCCTCCTCGCCCACCGTGGAGTTCTCCTTGCACACAGACATCAGGCGTAATCTCAAATTCGGTGTGCTCTGGCGGGCCTGAACAGCGGCCATCTGGCTTCATCGTGCGCCCTAGCGAGGCAGGCTCTAAAGCGAAGTAAGCAGCCGTTTCTATGTCCTTGTCTGTGGATGGCTATCAAACCAGATTGCTCCACGTATCGGCTACAAAATCACATCAACTGCATAGGGACAGGACTGCAGGCGTTTTACCTCGGTCGAAAAAACTGCGCTTTCGTGGAACACAGGTCAGTTCCTGATCAGTCACGGCAATCACGGGTGTGCTTACCGGCGTTACCGCACCTTTGCAAGGTATGTAGTACACCAGCAGCCGTAAGGCCGAGCGTGTGACATCGCAGGGCTGCTGAGACTGCATCTTGACTTGGCGACGACGGCTCGGTGAGTGGTTGATTGGAATGTTCAGGCGGTGCTCACGATATGAATGATCTGCTCGCCTTTGTTTGCAGAGCGCGAACACGCGTAGCCTCGTTGAACTGACACCTAGAAGTCAGACGAGCGTGGACAAATTCACGTCTCATACACTCTTCGAACCGGAGGTAGTCACGTCGCAGGCTCGCCCTCCACCGCTCGCACTGCCTCATACAGAGCGGAGTGGCTATCTTAAAAAGCTGGCGCTGGCATACCTTGGCATTTGAGGGCCACAGCGATGGGCTTAGCAGCAGGTTTTCCTTCGGATGCGAATGCGATAAGGCAGTGTCATTTCAAGGCGCAATAACACGATAGAGGCAACCTCTCAAGGAACCACGCCGGCTTGTCTTGTGTGTGGCGGCCCTTGAGTCTGCGGCGGGTGTGGCACGCATCATAATTAAGGGTGAGTACGATAGGTGACGTTGTACGGTACTACCCCACGTCTTTTGTTTCTCTGGACATAGCTTTGGATACGGCCAAGGTATATATCTGATCAGGCGGAGGCTTCTGACCAACCTGTACACTTCGAGCCATTTCCTTCCCCCTCCCTGTCCCCAGCGAACCCCATCATACTTGCATCATGGTGAGTTATCATATCATCTACGATATTCCTTGCTTGATCAATGCGGTTGGCTCAGCTGGACGCGAGCATGAGAGAAATCTCGATGGAAGAAAGACACGCCATTGCCATCCTGTACACTGCCTCCAGTGGCTACACAAACAATATGCCGCCGTCACCTCACATAAACTTCTTCGAAGCAGCGGACGTCGCAGGCGTCCTCATCAACCAAAATGTCATGCTTCATGAACCTGACAAGAAGGTCAATTTTGGCCCAGAGAACACGACGCAGTGTATCAAGATCGAGGCTCGTATGCATCTCTCTCGAGACGTGCTGGCTTGCTGATAACCATCCCTTAGTTGCCTGGTCACCTTGAGGTACAGAGAACGCTTCCAGGAGGACGATATTTCCTGTGCCATCTCGCTCAACGCGTTATTGACGGGATCATCGACACGCGTGAGGTACGTCCGTACTCACGAACCGCCCTACATCGAATAACGGAACGGCTCCGTTCAGAGGCTTACAATGAACGGCCATGCTTACTGCCACCGAGCGCTGAGGCTTAAGCCGACCGACGAGCTTCTACTGCTGGAGCTGCACAAGGCAAGCGAGAACACATGGCAGGCAATTATTTGTCGCGAGAAGAGAGCTTGATTTCGGAGCGAAATATCTGCTTAGGTACCAGTGATCCTCCGCATTTATCGTATATTTCTGCGTGCATGTCGTTGAAGTCACAGCGTGTTTGGTGGACGCCATTAATCATCCGCTTAGCGCGGTTGCGCGACTCAGACGCGACGCGACCGAAATGCCCTTTGAAATCGCTGGTCGGGAATTGGCCTCATGTCCGAAAGGAATCAGACGTGGGAGCTCTCTGTCCACTGGTTCGATGAAACCGAAGACTGTAAGACTCACTCGTGATATGATGACATCGATTAAATTGGTTCTCGCAAAGCCAAGGGGCTAGGGCCCCTACCGCAATACTGTGCCATGCCGCGTCTCGAGTCGGAGATTGACCCCGGCTGCCCTTGATCTGCTAGACTTTACGCTATAGAATCAGCTTCAAGACGATCATATTCGCTTTGCTCTTGCTAAATATCGCTGGGTATGGCCAAGGCATGGCCCCCATTCCAACGAGCGCTATCATTCTACAGATGACCATCGTGAATCACTCGTATCTTTAACCACATCGCCTGAAAGTAAGTAAAGCCTCTCTTATTCTTTCTTACCCCCTTACCCGACGCCCCATGCGACCTCGCCCCTTATATACCGTTCGCTGTATCCCTACGCCGTCCGCTCGATCACGACAAATTTCATCGGACTTGGCCTCCGACACGCATCCCGCTGTTATCTTACGCCGTAGCGAACGCCCACGAATGCCTGAGACGCCGTGGGCGGCGCAAACTGTGCATCCAACGTGAGGATGCTATGAAAGTCGGCCACGGAACGGTATACCCTTGCAGAATTTTACGCTACAGGGCGTTCAATATTGGCCAGTCAGCCTCGCTCTTCTGTGGTCTGCTGGAAGGTAAGAATGCTAATCGCGTCGAAGAAGAAAACCCGCGGGACCAGTAGCCACGAAAACGGCAGTCACGATACCCGCAGCCACGAGAGCCGCAGCCACGAGAGCAGTAACCGCGAGAGCAGCAGGCGTGTAGCGAAGCGAAACGATCTCTTGTTAGGCTCTGTTCGGTAGCCCTGCTTAGCCACGCTACGCTTCGCCAACATCGGCGTCTGCTGCGTTTTGAGACCCAAACCTCGCCCGCTCTGGAAATCCCGAGGCAGACGCCGGGCCGTAGCGTAGCAAGCGCCGAGTTGGCGTGGCTAAGCAAGGCTACCGAACGGAGCCTTAGACTTCCGCAGATACGACCAATCATCCTGACAAGCCATAGCCACAGCCAGGGGACGTGTCCATAGTATGGGTATATGCGAACCTTGCATGCGCGGAGGTGGTATTACATATGTCAAGCACTCTTCCAATCCCCTGATAGCTCAGTTGGAAGAGCGTGAGACTGTAATTGGATAACTCCTCCCCATCTCAAGGTCACTAGTTCGATCCTGGTTCAGGGGATTCATTTTGGACTTTTTATATAGGCTGATACGAAGATTCGTTGTCGAATGGCATTGCGAACTGCCCAGTGCTACGAGAAATTTTTTGTCCATCGTTCTCCCAAGGGCACTGCTTGCCGAAAGTGCCAGCGTCGAGCATATAGACCTACTCTCGCAGCAACCCAGGACGCTAGCTCCGGATGAGCGGGTTTTGCTCTCTTTCCCAGTTGGACTGTAATGTGTATGCTGACATCGTATCCCAGCGGACCACAATGCGAAGCTACAGGCACTGGTCGCGCTACCAACCTACATCTGAGTCAGGGATCCTCTGGCCTTGATCGTCTCTTCGTGCCATCTGGATATCACTTGCAGAGTGTGGGGGCAGCACGCGGCGGCCTTCAGGTCAGGCTGGGACGAGGCATTTTCGAACAGGATGACATGAGATAGCTCACGATTATACATAATTACAAGTATGGTACAGCCTTCCGCTTTTTCTCCCAGACGAACCTCTAGTCCAAATCCTCCAGGCTGCGCGTCGCCACCTCGCTATAAAATACGGCTCGCTTAGATGACCAGCTCATCGTCATGATGCTGAAAGACTCACGGATAATAACGTGCCAGGAGCTCAGCCTCCTCGCGCTTCAGGAGCCCGAGCGCAAGGGGCCCGAGCGTCTTGATGGTGCCGACGAAGCCCTTCTTGAACCCGTCGACAAAGTCGGACCCGAACGACCGCGCGAGGAGCTCCTCTTCGCTGCGGGCGAGAATGTCCGTGTCCTCACGCTTCAGCAGCCCCAGGACGAGCGGGCCGACGGTCTTCAGCGTCCCGACGAAACCTTTCTTGAACCCGTCGACGAAGTCTGAGCCGAAGGAGCGCTCGTCGAGGTCGCTACGGCGTTCCATGTGCTCGCTGTAGAGTGGGGATGTGAGCGAGAGTTGAAGAAGGAAGGCTATGAGGCGTACAGCAAGGCGTCGCGTGCCACGACCTCGAGGTCTTCTCGCTTCACGACGCTCAGGACGAGCGGTCCGAGGGTCTTGATGGTCCCGACAAAGCCCTTCTTGAAGCCGTCCACAAAGTCAGAGCCGAACGACCGTTCGTCGAGATCATCACGTCGCTGCATGTACTCGCTGCATAAAATGACAAGAAGTCAGAGACACATTGTTGCGGCACGCACTGCAGGCTACGAACCTGAGTGCCTGGCGCGCGAGCAGGTCAATCTCGTCCTCGCGTTTCAGCAGCCCGAGCACGAGCGGACCGACGGTCTTGAGCGTGCCGGTGAAGCCCTTCTCAAAGCCCTGCACGAAGTCTGAGCCGAAGGAACGGGCGTAGACGTCGTTGCGGGCGAGCAGGCTGACGACGTCGCGCGCGGTAACATCTGATAGGTCGGAGCGCTTGGTGACAGGAGCAGTGGTGGATGGGTAGGCGAGGGCCGGGGCTGCGACGGAGGCAAGAGCAAGAGCGAGGAAGACGTTGGTACGCATGGCTCAAAGGTGTGGAACGGTGCGCAGGAAATGGAGACTTGTGGGATAAATGGCGTGAAGGGAGATAACGAACGAAAGGCTAGAAACTGGTTCAGCATGCTGTCATGCTATCAATGCGGACTGTGTTCTAGACTCACCGACCAGCACCTGTATTTGACTAGGGCTCGAAGAAGAAGGTGGAGCGGGGGATCAGCAACGGCTCTCCACTGCGCTTTATGGCTCCGCTTTGCGCCAAGAGATGCGCGAACGCGCCGTCTGAGACTGCCAAGCAGCATCGCAACTATGTGCGCGGACACAGCTTCGCGGCAATGCTGGATCGGATCAGCCAGCCGTGTGGGTGGTTGGCATAGACGGGACATCAAGCGTGCTGCTGGCAACGTCCAGCGGCATAACGAGTGCTGAGCGTCGCGCTCTGACAAGCATGACCGTGCCTGCGAGGAGTCAGAAGTATGTTAGAGATAATATACAGGCCACTCACAAAGGTAAAGCTCTGGGTCAAGCAGGTATATAAAGCCATGAAAGGCCAAAAGACATCGGGATGACCACCGCCTCGCGAGCTGATGGTATCAGCGACCGCCGCCTCCGTCGTGCTGCAACACCGCAAGCCCAGCGGGCCGCAATCTCAGGAACGTGTGATGAATGAGACTGGTGTCGTCGAGTTGCCAGGCAACTGTCTATGCCAAGCGGCCGTCGGAGGTGCTCGCCCATTCGCGAGCGGAGGTCAGCGCGCGCAGATGGGCATACTGCAGGGCTTGCGCGCGTCATTTCGCTTCGATATACCTCAGACAATGAAGCTATGGGCGGCCAGGCATCAGTTCTAGGATGCTGCTCATGATAAACGCGGAGCGGGAGTTTGAGCAATTGCTGCAGATGCAAGGGCTACTCTGCGCCATGGAGGTTGAAGAAAGGTTCGTGCCGCCGGCGTCTCGCGTACTTTGCCACAACGCCGCCGAAAGTTGGAAGCTGCTTCTGACCGCCATCTGCTCCAGTGGGCTCTTCGTCCTCTCAGCAAGCATCATTTGCTTGCTCAAAATCTCTTCAACGTCTACTAGCTGGACTTACCCTCTCCTCATCTGACGCACTTTTTCACTCTTTCGCTTGGCTCAGTACATTCTCAGAACACGAGGCAAATATGGCCAAGTACCCGCAGCCAGGAAGCACCGTCCCTAGCGTGTCGGCGGAGGAGTTCTTCTCCAAGTACATCTCAAAAAGGGTGCCCGTGATCGTCAAGGGGCTGCTGGACGACGCGGACTTCAAGGGCCGGAACTGGGTACGCCGCTCGCGCCCCGCCTCGCCCGGCAGAGTACTGAGCTCACGAAGGCAGACCTCGACTATCTAGCGTCCAAGGCTGGCGAGCGCGAGGTTCTCGTGGAGCCCATGCACCCCGACGCACACCAGTTCGGCACGGACGTCGAGCGCGTCAACATGAAGTTCGGCGACTTCCTCAAGAGCCTGCAGAGCGAAGACGGCCCGCATCACTATCTCACGACGCAGTACGCGGAGCAGGACTTGGAGGCGTTGACCGTGCTGCCGCCGCCGACGGACGCGCTGGAAGATGAGTTCCCGTATGTTCCGAGGATCATGGGGAACCTCTGCCTGCAACAGGTGAACCTGTGGGTCGGGCGGTCGAAGGAAGGGTCCACGTCTGGCCTGGTGCGTCCTCCCCCTCCTGCCCCTTGTCTCTCGCTAAATCATCACCTTCCAGCACCACGACTTCCACGACAACCTCTACTGCCTGCTCAAGGGCCGCAAGCGCTTCGTGCTCTTCCCGCCGTCCGAGCTCCCGCACCTCTACCCGCACGGCACACTGGATGCACAGCACCCGAACGGCCTCATCTCGTACACGGACGCGCCCGTGCGGGCCGACGGCCTGCCCGTGCGCGTCGCGCTGAAGGCGCGCGTGCGCGCGCTCGAGGCGCGCCTCGACGCCGCGCCGCGCGGGAAGGGCAAGGGCCGCATGGACGTCGGCGCGCGCGCGGCGCTTGTCGAGGCGCACGAGCAGGCGCTCGACGAGCTTGCGCAGTACACGCTCGAGGCGGCCGACGGGATTGATGTCGATGAGGAGGAAGACGACTTTGACGCGCTCATGGCGGGGCTTGAGGGCGAAGACGACTTTGATATACTCGAGATGGACGGCGGAGGTCCTGAGGGTGGAGATGTTGAGGAGGCCGAGGATGAGAGCGACCAGAGCGAGGAGGAGGAGGAGTACCCGGAGTGGCACGGGATCGGTACTGCCGAATCCGACGACGAAGAGTCCGACGAAGACGGCGAGGAGCCCTCCTCCTTCTCCCGCATACCCACGGGCGTCGTCCACAAGCACCTCGGGCTGCCGACCACCGCTGTACCACCAGAAGGCGCCTCGCTCAAAAGCTTTCCGAACTTCAAAAAGGCGACGAAGCCGTTCGTCGTCGAGCTCTCCGCCGGCGAGATGCTCTACCTCCCGGCCTCGTGGTGGCACGAGGTCACGTCTTCGGCGGCGGCGGACGGCGACGCCGTGCACATGGCGTTTAACTACTGGTTCTACCCACCGGACAACCTGGACAGCTTCGAGGAGCCGTACGAAGATTCGCTAGTCTGGGAGTACCTGCGTTCGAAGAACCCGAAGAGCCAGCGAAAGGCGCCGACGAAGCCGCCCGCTGAGACGGCCAAGCGGAAAAGTAATGGCGACGGTGCTCAGGCGAAGAAGAAGAGCAAGAAGTAGTGAGCAGGGCGTTTAACCTCTTGAATGCCATTCAGCCAATGTGTACGTCTGACCCTCTTATCTGCGATCTTTGGTTGGCTAACACTAGACCTTTACAGATGCTATTACATATGCTCACATGTATCACTACCTACTCGCATCTCTTCATGTATCGAGCTGCTCACACTAACAGATTGGATTGACAAGCTCCACGCGTGCAGGACAGCAGGAGGCCCAGGGCTTCCACGTGACGCGGCGACGCCACAAAGGCTTTGCTAAGCGCTCGGGCTAGATGCCTCCGTACACATTTTTGGAGAGAAATGCTCCCGTAAGACTAGAAATGCTCTGTGATTGTGCATATCTACCTGAGAAAAAAATTGTTTCGATATTTTGCAAGAATTTTGAGCTCCCCATGCGCTGACGACTCGGGATTTCATGAGGATGTATCCGATGCTTACCGGACTGACCGTGGGAACCTGAGCAATTATCGCAAACGCCCATGAGGGCGTCTTGAGTCTTGACCAAAACTGCCAAGCCTTCGGCCCATCCACCCTCTTCTGGCGCAGTACTCCAGCGATGAAGCGGGCGCAGGAGTTCCCGGTACCGGCATCTCCGTCGAGCTTGCCTCCGGCTTCGAAGAAGCTGAAGGTCTCACCGCGCGAATCGTCCGGCATTAGCGTGCAGGACCCAGGCAGCTCCGAGGACGGATGGACGAAGGTCGAGAAGCGCAAGGCCAAGAAGACGAAGAGGACCGAGGGCAAGCTTGACGTGTGTGTTTCCGCGCTTTGCCTCTCTGTCACCTACGGTGTTGAGTGTCATTTTTGCAGGCGAACCCTCCCAAGTTTATGTACAACAGGGCGGAG